TTATTACTGATCATTCTGCCTTGAAATGGTTACTTAACCAATCTAATCCTAATAAACGAATAAACCGCTGGATTCAACGAATCTCTGACTATCCTTATACCATATTACATCGCAAAGGAAAGGTACATTCTAATGTGGATGCACTTTCTAGAATTCCAAAGGAACCACCCTGAGGAAACAACAATTTAACAAATCTTACAAACTTTACAAACTCTATTCAAAATGGAACAACAACTTTACTTGGATATCTTTAATTATTTAACTAATTTAACTCTACCAACAAACCTAACTACACAAAAACAAAAACAATTTTTAAAACAAATTACTCATTATATAGTTATTGAAGGACAATTATTTAGGAAACCTAAAGGATCACTACAAAAAGCTCTTAAAGTAATACAACAACAGGAATTGGATACTGTTTTGTATAATCTCCATACTAATCTTCTGGCTGGACATTTTGGTATCGATGGAACCTATAATCGAGCTAAAACAAAATACTATTGGCCTAATATGTACAAAAGTATCACTCAATATATTCAATCCTGTGATACTTGTCAAAGGCAAGGACACCCTCGAGCAAATGAACTTTTGCATCCAATTCCAGTTGGAAAACCTTTTGACCGAGTTGGAATTGATATAGTTGGACCTCTTAAAGTCACCTCTAATAATAATCGATATATTATTGTAGCTACTGAATATCTTACTAAATGGCCTGAAGCTAAAGCTATTCCTGATATGAAAGCTACAACAGTTGCTAAATTTATTTATGATGAAATAATTTCTCGACATGGATGTCCTAAGGAACTTCTCTCTGATCAAGGAACTCCCTTTTGCAATGAGTTAGTTGACTCTCTTTGTCAACTAATGGGAACTAAGCATCGTCTAGCATCTGCTTATCACCCTCAAACTAATGGACTTACTGAACGTTTTAACAAAACTCTATGTACAATACTTGCTAAATATGTTTGTGACTATGAGGATTCATGGGATACTTTTATCTCAGCTGCTCTTTTTGCATATCGAACTATACCTCAGTCAACTACCAAACATGAACCATTTGAATTGTTATATGGAAGGAAAGCTAATACTCCTCTTGACTTACAAATAATTCCACAACAATCTATTAAGGAGCCTCCATATGAACAACAACTTCAAAACCATATTGATCATATAACATATGGGTTACAACAAGTCCAATTAAAAGCTAAACAAAATATTGAAGTTGCTCAAGAAAAACAAAAGGAATATTATGATGAATCTATAAAGAAAAAACAATTTTATATAGGTGACAAAGTATTATTATATCAATCAGCTCAAGCTAAAGTTTATGGTAATAAATTTCATGAAAAATGGAAAGGACCATACTATATTCATGATATTATCATACCTAGAGTATACAAATTAAGGACTATGAATTGAAAAGTTCTCAAAAAAACAGTAAATGCCAATTGATTAAAATTTTATTTTGAACGACCCTTATGGGAATCTATTGTTACTATTGAATAATAATTTATTCATTTTATTATTTACAAAAAAAAAAAATATAAAATAATAATAATCTATTATTATTTTAATTCCCCCTTCTTGTATTTCTTCTCACTTCTTCCAACTCATTTTCTAAATTTTT